GATTGTGGCACTGGCTTCTGAGAAACCCATTTCCTGTCCATGGAAGTTAGGCTCTGAGCGGATGATGGCCACAGAAAGTAGCAGGGACATAAGAAGGGGAGTCACTTATCTCAGAAACGCAGAGTGAAGCTTCACAAGGACACAGCGACTCGGACCATTCATTTCAACAGCATCAATTTATTGACTCTTTACATTGTGGGAACTTTTGGGTAAAGAGACAGTGGATTACAACAATCTTTCACATCATTACAGCCAATTATTATGTAGCCATGTCTGAGTTTCATTCCTATGCTGTTACAAACACTCTAACCAAAAGCAGCTCGGGGAGGAAGTTTATTGCCTCCTATTTCCAGGTCAGTACATCATGGAAGGAAGTTGGGGCACGAACTCAAGTAGGAGCCTGAAGCAGAAATTACTGAGCTTGCTTGGCTCAATCGTGGCTTAGGCCAAGCAGGCTTTCCTGTACACACAGGACCACCTGGCAGGGAACGGTGCTGCTTAGGGGACTGTGCCCTCCTCTATCTACAGGACAGTCCCCCACAGACACACCCACAGGCCAATCTAGTCCAGGCAATTCTGCAATCAAGTTGCTCCTTTTAGATGGCTCCAGGCCGTGGCAGTTAACAGTTACAGGTGATCATGAACCTTTACCCCTTTTCTACTTGATATGCAAACAAACATTAAACCATGACCTTTCGATGTCTTGGCCCCAAAGTCTCATGTTAATATTACAATACAACCATTAGCCAACTTTCACAATTTTATGTCTTTAAAATCTTCAATACTTTTAAAATTCTAAGTCTCTTTAAAAGTTCAAGTCTTTTTTGTTTTTTGAGACAAAGTTTTAGTGTATAGCCCTGGCTGTCCTCGAACTCACTCTGTAGAACAGGCTAGCCTCGAACTCACAGAGATCCACCTGCCTCTGCCTCCCCAGTTTTGGGACTAGTCATGTGCTACCACTGCCTGGCTCAATCCTATAGCTTTTTATGTCTTAAAAGGAAACAGGACCTCACAGAGACCCTCAGACATTGCCACATTCAGCTGCTAGCTCGAGTATAGTCTTGGATCCCTCTGGACTACAACTCCATGTACTTTACCTGAGCAAACACTTTGTCCCAATGAAGCATAAATGTCCCATCAATGGCATTGATCTCTTATTAACTGTAGCTATTTGCCCCAGCTGACCAGCAACCACAGATTCTTAGTAGAAAGCATCACACAGGGCCAGGCATGGTGGTGCAGTGCACACCTTTAATCCCAGTACTCAGAAGGCAGAAGAAGGCAAGCATCTCCTATGCACTCATGGAACCTGACAACACAATGAGGTGGGACTATCCCCAAACCCACCATCTCTACAAATGAAGACGCTGGGGCTTAGAGAGGTTGATTAACCTGCCCAGGACCTGACCACTGGAGAAACACGGCTAATTCTAAAAATAGAAGCTCTTACCCATTATTGCAAGACTTACAATGGTACAAGCTATCTGTTAGTGGACACAGAAAAGAGGCCTGGGACTAGAGGTCTACAGGACTTGCCTTGTATGCAAAAGGCTCTGGGCTCAACTCCCAGCACTGCATGAATAGGACAGGTAGTGACTTTGGGAGATGGAAGCAGGAGAATCACGAGCTCAATGTCATTACATCTCTAGCTCAAGGCCAAGCGGGGCTGCATGAAAACTCTGCCTCAGATATTAATGAAATAATTAAGCTCAACACAAGCATTAAGTGTAGAACATTAGGCTTGGGTTCAATCCCCAACATCACATAAATAAATAATAATGGTGGCCCAAGTGTCCAGAAAACCTTTGGCTTGTGGTCCTTCCCACCACTCAGGTTCCATCTGCCCCAGCATGTCCCTACTTGGTTCTCTCAGCTCTCACACTAAGTCCAGGCTGAAGTCCCCTAAACTCCTGCCAAGCCCACGTTTATTTAGCTTCTCTATTAGGATTCCCACTGCGGAAGTGGCTTTCTTTAGTTCTGTCTTCCACAGTGACTTTCCCAACACATCATTCCTCCTTCCTGATTTCCTCTCAGTCTCCTGCCTCAAGATCATAAACCCAACACAAGACCCCAAAGGCACGGAAGAAAACTTGGCATAGAACTGCCCTGTCAGACTGTCACTGACCAAGAAGAAGCAATACATAGAAGGCAGGACCTTCCCTGCACACCCAAGACTACACACACTCAAGCCACAGTGCCTGAAAGGATCATCATCTAAGGAAGTAGCCGGGCAGTTGGTGGCACACACCTTTAATCCCAGCACTGGGAGGCAGAGGCAGGAGGATCTCTGTGAGTTTGAGGCCAGCCTGGTCTACAAGAGCTAGTTCCAGGACAGGAACCAAAACCACAGAGAAACCCTGTCTCGAAAAACCAAAAAACCTCTCTCTTCCATCTCCTGGTAGAACTGTCTGGAATAGGCTTTTTTCCTTATTCTGTTTTCTTGCAAGGGCAAAACTTCCAGATGCATAGTGATGACCTCAAGCCGAACAGGCCACTTTCCTGTGTTTACATTTAAAAAAATTTCTGAGAATTGTCATTCATATTACTAGAATATTTTTAAAAATCCAAACCACTGGAGCTGGAGAGATGGCTCAGCGGTTAAGAGCATTGCCTGCTCTTCCAAAGGTCCTGAGTTCAATTCCCAGCAACCACATGGTGGCTCACAACCATCTGTAGTGAGGTCTGGTGCCCTCTTCTAGCTTTCAGACATACAAAACAGACAGAATATTGTATACTCAATAAATAAATATATTTAAAAAAAAAAAAAAAAAAAAAAAATCCAAACCACTTGAGTAACATTCAAAAGGATTGTTTCTCTCCACCCATCACTCCATAGTTCTGGGAACAGTACCCAGGATGAAGCATATGGTGACATACCTCCATTTCTGAGCTAGTCAAATGGCACACCCCCCTCTCACCAGGGCCTTACCATGCAGCCCTGGGTGTCCTAGAATTCACTCTGTAGACCAGGTTGGCCTTGAACTCAGAGATCTCCTCTCCTCTGCCTCCGGAATGCTGGGATTAAAGGCATATACCACAATGCCTGACTCTGAATCTGTCTATTTTCTTCTTTCTTTTCTTTTTCTTTTTTTAAATGATAAGGTCTCATATAGCCTGGGCTAGCCCGGAACTCCTGGTCATCTGGCCTGAGCATCCCAAACACTGAATTTAGAGGTGTGGACTATTGCACTCAATTTTAATTGCTGCTGTTTGGTTGAATTTTGTTTAAGACAAAATTTCAGCTGGCGTTGGTGCCTTTAATCCCAGCATTTGGGAGGCAAAGATAGGCAGAGTTCTATGAATTTGAAGCCAGTTTAGTCTACAAAGTGAGTTCCAGGACAGCCAGGGCTGCTACACGGAGAAACCCTGTCGTCCTCTGCATCCCCACCCCCCAAAAGACACATTTTCATGTTCCTAGGCTGTTCTAGAATTCACTTTGGTGCCTCCAGCCTCTACCTCAGAGTATAGCACCACTCCCAGTTTGCCTGGTGCTGGCGACCAAACCCAAGGCTTTATGCGGCCGAGTTACAAATGAGTTTTCACTCCAGCCCCACAAATCTCACTGTTGCCCTCTTCCTCTTCTCTCTCCCCTCCCAATGTGAGCTTCTGGCTGAAAAGTTCCCACAATTCAGGCTTCAAGTCTAGTACCACCAGAATGAAGTTTCCTTACACTCTTCGGTGCCTTTCGCCTAAGAAACTGGTACACATTCTCATATGGAAAAATCAAAGACAGCTGCATCAGCACAACAGGCACACGCTTGACTTGGGAGCATTTTTTGCAAAGCATTTTTGCAAAGCAGGTCGAATAGCTGTCTAGAACATTGCAACAAACAGCAATGACAAACAGCCGAGGCAAAGGGGCTGCAATACACCCCGGAGAGCGCTATGATAATTCAAGTCTGAAGTTCGTACTGACGGAATGAAATACAAATTTTAATACTGTCTTTGAACGAAGTTTACCACAAAACCCAATGCCCTGTGGATCACTATAGTACCTATTCAGGAAGATGGAATCACTCCAAAGCTTTTGCACTCAGTTCCCGGGTAACGTTTAAAGTCCATCCAGCAGATATTTTCCTAGTTCTCAAAGGCTTTGACAAACGGCTGTCAGTAAAGTGGATCTGATCTTTCCCATATTTGGAAAGAATTTAGGAGGGAAGGGGGAGTACCTCACAACGCCGGTTTCCCCCCCACAGCCTCGCACCCAAGTCCCTCTAAGCGCTCTGGCGCTTGCTCACAAGACACCTCTAGAGAAGGAAACCCCCAGGGCTTCCCAAAGTGTGAACTGACCTGCACCAAGGTCACAGGACATTTTACCAACTTTTTGGTTCCGAGGGGGAACTAACGAGCAAGAGTTGACTCTGAAGACCTGGTTCCAGGGACCGTGACAAAGGACTCTAAAGGCCCAGACACTGCGCTTTCCCCTTTGCTTGGCACAGTAAGGGGTGCTGGGCTAACGTTCCCAAAAACGGGTTATCCTAGGACCGCGTGCGGGGTGCTTACCAGGCCCCGCAGGCCAAACCGCCCCAGTCCTCCAGCAGACAACCTCGGCCCGGAAGCTAGCGAAGGGAACACCGCACCGCGCTTTCATTGGTCCCACGCAGCCGGAAGTGCGCGCGTCCAGCGGAAGTGCTCCTCCGGCCTGGTCCGCCCGGCCCGGGCCGTCAGGGGCGGGGCGCTTGGATCCAAACCCTGGGATCCGCTGGCCGGAGGCAGGCGGGCAACGCCGGGGCAGAAGGAGGTTGTCCGGTTCCCAATCACACACCGAGAGTTTCGTAGGCGTCGGACCCCACGCCACAGCAGCTGAGCACCGCGCCCCGGCGGGAACCCGGCCTCCGCGGGACCTGCGGACCGGAGCTGCGAGTTCGTCCACGGGGAGGAGTTTGGCGGCCAAGGGTGCCGCTTTGCCTGATTCCTGTCCCCGGTGGTCCTGGGTCGAGCGCTGCTCACTTCCGACCCTGAGAAGGTGTGCTTTCTGCCCTTGCCCTTGCCTTTCGTGCTTCTGAGTTGGACAGTTTTCCTCAAGGCGTTTCTTGGGCGCTGTGGCCTCATCAGAGGAAACCTCAGAAAAAGCTACAGAAGGCACAGTCCAGGAGTTAAACGCCCTCTGTTGCGTCTTCCTAGGAGTGGAAAGTGTATTTCAGTTACAGGCTACTTATGCTTAAGGGGAAGTTATCTGGACGTCTGTAGGCCAAGTTCATACATAGCAAATAAAACTAATAGTTTCCCTTGGTCTAGCCAACTCCACCCCTCGGAGGTTTGACGTTTGAGCCTCCTTGTAAACCCAATGAACAATTACGCTTTTCTCAAACTGACGACACTCAAAGCTTCCAAAGTTGGCGGTTTGTGCAATCCGAGAAGCCCGATCAGCATGAATGAATGTCCCTTTCCTCTCCAGCTGACAGTACTGGAGGGCCATTTCTGCAGATTTGAAGAAAATGCACCTCTTATCTTTATTACTAGGTGGTGCCAGTGAGTTAAATCTTCCTGTCATAAATCTGTAGCGTGTGGTTAAAGCTTTTTAAAAAGCCTCAGTATTCCCTGAAATTTATTCAGAATAACTTTGTTTCTTGAGACTGAATTGCGGCTTGGGGATGTGGCCTGGCGGTAGGGGGCACACCTCTAGTATGCTGGTTCTTCCCATTTCCCCCAAAAGGAGAGAGACAGATTTTTCTATTAAACAGTAAAAACATATTGGGCAGGGGATTTTCTTAATGGTAGAGTGCTTGCTTAGGCAAGAATGAGACCCTGAGTTCAATCTCCTGCAAAAAAAGAAAAGAAAAAGGCTGGGCCTGTTGGCGTATACCTGTAATCCTAGACATACTATGGTCTCTTCAGTTTTGTTTTTTGGTTTGGTTTGGGTTTTAGTTTTGGTGTGGCACTGGCTGTCCTGGAAATCACTCAGTAGCCCAGGCTGGCCTTGAACTCAGAGTTCCCTCGCCCCTGCCTCCCAAGTGCTAGGATTAAAGGTGTGTGCCACCACTGCCACCGCCCAGCGTTTTATATTTTCTTAATTTTGAATTGTACTGATATGTTCAGTCGTCTTAAGTAACCAAATCCAATGTACTCCATGTGGGTTTATCATTCTTATAGTGATTAAAATGGCTTCCAGAGGAAAGACAGAGACAAGCAAATTAAAGCAGAATTTAGAGGAACAGTTGGATAGACTGATGCAGCAATTACAAGATCTGGAGGAATGCAGGTAATAGTATAATTATGTGTCATTACTCTGTGTCCGAGGGAGAGTTCAAGCTCCACGGATGTGACTTTGGTCTCCTCTGTAGTGTTCTACAGCATTCTGCCTGTGGGAAAAGTAAACGTCTCATAAAGCCTGGGATGTGGAAGACTTAAAATATTCCTGGAAATAGCTAAGCTTACGTTGTCTTTAGTATTTAAAACAGCTCTGTCTAGAATGAACTCCTGGCTAATTGCTCAAAATGCTGTGATTGGGCTGTGGCGTTCCTCTGCGGATGAGTGGGCGCCTAATACGCCAGAGGCTTGGACTCAATTCCCAGCATCAAAGAAGGGAGGGAAGAGAGGGAGGTTGTACACTCCTATATCCCAGCACGTGTGAGATGGATGCAGGAGAATCAGAAGCTCAAGGTCCTTCTTGCCTACATTGTGAGTTTCAGGCCAACCTGACTGTATGAGACCCCATTTCAATAAAGCAGAAGAAAACAAGCTATTAATTGTAGTTTTTTATAGCCTCCCAAGGGTGCTGTAAATATGGAAATGAAAGAGACAGTGTAGTGCTTGGCCTAGAGGAAGTGCCCCGTAAATGGTAGCTGAGCGTGTAGAGCTCTTATTACTTGTAGTAAATATTTAATAAGCAGCTTGTTTGGTAAATAAAAATAGCCTTTTACTCCGCTGACAGGTGTGCCGCTCTTCTCGCCAGTGGGCACACAAGGTGCTTCCCGCCATTAATGAGACTGAAGCTAACAGCAACCGTTTACCGTTACTATAGACGCCAGGTGTTTTCTTCTTAATGAACACTTAGGAAAAGGCACTATAGTGATCTGAAGTTGTGTAGACAACTGAGGTTTGGCCCTGTTCATGCCTTGCCCAAGGTTATACAACTAGTCTCTTTAGGAGAAGGTACTGTGTGCCTAAGCGTGCCTCCTGGGGCAAGGGGAGATAACACACACTCAGCCCCGGGTTCAGCCGCAGTGAAAGACAATGGAGATGCCAGTAGCTCGACTCTGTGGACATGTGCCACTCCAGCTGGTACTCCCCTTCAGCCTTGCTCTAGATCAAGTACCGAGGTTTTCAGGCTTAGACGTGTTTTCTGCACTCTGATGTAAACTGTGCTTCAGAGAGGAGCTTGACGCCGACGAATATGAAGAAACTAAAAGGGAAACTCTGGAGCAGCTGCGTGAATTCAGCGACTCCCTAAAGAAGATTATGTCGGGAGATATGACCTTGGTAGATGAGTTCAGCGGCATGCAGCTGGTAAGAGGAATTGGCCAATCGAGTCTTCTGTGCATGGCTTGTTGTTTGCTTCTTTGTGAGTGTATTTCAGATAGAAAGGCCAAGGACCGAGCTCTGTGGTACTGTACGTGCCTAGCAAGTACAAGACCCTAGATTATTTCCCAGCATCTCAAAATAAAACATAAATAAGTGAAGGAAAGGAAGAAAGAAAAAGTGCTGTGTTTCCGAGATTGCTTCTAGATTTTGTGTCTGCTTGGCTCCACTAATGTGCTCAGAAATTGCAAATCGAAACTGATCTCAAGCCGGGCGGTGGTGGCTCACGCCTTCAATCCCAGCACTCGGGAGGCAGAGGCAGGCAGATCTCTGTGAGTTCGAGGCCAGCCTGGGCTACAAGAGCTAGTTCCAGGATGGGAACCAAAAAAGCTACAGAGAAACCCTGTCTCGAAAAAAAAAGAAAGGAAGAAACTGATCTCAATCACTAAGACTCATTAGTCCAGTATTGCAGATGTAATTGTGTAGAATGTTTTTGGTTAGTTTTTGTGTTCCTATGTTTCCAGGCTATTCAGGCGGCTATCAGCCAGGCCTTTAAAACACCGGAAGTCATCAGATTGTTTGCAAAGAAACAACCAGGTCAACTTCGGACAAGGTTAGCAGAGGTAAAGTTCCTTCACGTTGATCCAGTTGCTGTGTGTGTTTGTCTTCCAAGCCCGTGACTGTACTGATTGTAGTAGCCTACTGTTTACAATTTGCTCGGTGTTAGAGCCACAGCCCTCAAGTCCTTGACAGTTTGTACCTTGGACAGTTATAATTCATAATAAATGAATGTTTTAACAGCATGTGGCTATTTAAATCACCCCCAGCCACTTCCCTTGGCCTCCACCTTAGAATTTTGTCCTTTATATCTGGGGCCCTAACTCGAGATCCTCTTTGGAATTCAGCATCAGCATTGTTCCTGGGTATGCACTGTTAATCTTTTTTTTTTTTTCTTCAGATTTCTTTCTAATTTGTTTTTGGTTTTTCGAGACAGGGTTTCTCTGTAGCTTTGGAGCCTGTCCTGGAACTAGCTCTTGTAGACCAGGCTGGCCTGTGCCTCCCAAGTGCTGGAATTAAAGGCGAGCACCACCACCACCCAGCTTTTTTCTATTGTTTTGAGTGATGTTTGCTGGTATGTAAGTGCACATGTGCACATTTGTGCATCTGCCCTCAGAGGCCAGAAGCATCAAATATCCTGGAACTACAGGAGGTTGTGAACAGCCTGAAGTGGATGCTGGGAATTGAACTCGAGTCCTCTCAGAGCAGCACACAGTTCCTAATCACGGAGCCATTTCTTCTGCTTGTCCAGTATCTTTTTGTTTCTTTCTTTTTCTTTGAGACAGGGTTTCTTTATCTCTGTGCTGCATAGAGGAGCTCTGTAGCCCTGACTGTCCTGTAGGCCATATTGGCCTAGAACTCAGAAATCTGCCTGCCTCTGCCTCACGAGTGTTGATATTAAAGGTGTGTGCCTCCACTGCCTCTTTCTTTTCTTTCTTTTTATTTTTTTATTTTATTTTTATTTATAAATTCTTACTTCCAGAAGTCTTTCCGTGGACTTGAATATAATTACGGACTAATAGGTAATTTCCATCTACAAGTAATTCAGTAGAATAGTAAGAGCATAACTTTAGGGAATGGAGAGATGACCCACTTGGTAAAGTATGCCAGGTGAGCAGCACACACAGTGGTCCTGGCACTGGGGAGACAGAGACCAGAGGCTCCCTGGGGCTCTTGCCAGTGAGATACCCAAAAATTGACCTCTAGCATGACTCAGACACGCTTATATACACATAGGAGCACATACACACACGGGGGAACATCATAGATTAAGATGAGATTATTGGGGGCTGGAGCAATGGCTCTGTAGTTAAGAGCACTGACTGTTCTTCCAGAAGACAAGTGTTCAATTCCCACCACTCACATGGCCACTCACAACCCTCACTAACTCTATACCGAGGTACCCAACACCCTCTTGTAGACTTATACAGACAAAACACCAATGCACATGAAATAAGAACAAGGAAAAA